AAGAAGATGTGGTTCATATATACAATGAAATATTACTCAGCCATCAGAAAGGATGAATATCCAACTTTTACATCAACATGGATGGGACTGGTGGGGATTAGGCTAAGTGAAATAAGTCAATTAGAGAAAGACAGTTATATGGTTTCACTCATATGTGGAACATAAGAAACAGTGTAGAGGATCATAGGGTAAGGGAGGGAAAACTGAAGGGGAAGTCATCAGAGAGGGAGAAAAACCATGAGAGACTCTTAACTCTAAGAAGCAGTTGCTGGAGGGGTGGTGGGTGGGGGAATGGGATAATTGTGTGATGGGCATTAAGGAGGGCACATAATGTGATGAGCATTGGGTATTATATGCAACTGATAAATTATTGAACACTGTATCTGAGACTAATGATGTCCTACATGTTGGCTAATTGAATTTAAATTAAAAAAATAAAATAACTGATTTAAAGTATTTGTTCAGTAAGTCCAAAATTTGGGCTTCCTCAGGGGCAATTTCTATTGGTTGCTTTCTTTTTTTCTTACCTATGACAATACTTTCTTGATTTTTTCGCATGTTTCATATTTTTGGTTGAAAACTGGACTTTTAAAGTAATTTAATGTAGCAACTCTGGAAATCAGGTATGAATGTTGTTAGTGTCTGTTATTGTTGGTATGTTTAATGATTTTTCTGAACTAATTCTTTAATTTCTGTGTCATTTGTCATATGTAGCCACTGAAGTCACTGCTCAGTTAGCCTAGGCTGATATTGGATGGAGAGTTTTTGACACCTGGAACTAGTTAGTCTCCTAGTCTTTGCTGAGGGTCTTTATGTGCTTGTTGTGGTACACTCTAAACATTGAGCCTAGGCAGTTGATTACTTTGTCCTTCACTGTCTGCTGTGCAGAGCATCAATTTCAGCCAGAGGTAAGAACTTAAATTCTGTGTTGACTAAGCGTGCTCAGTCTTGGGCATGTGTTCCTTCTATGCATACATGTGGACTTCTATTTTCCCAGGAATGTGTTAGAACTTTTCAAATCTCCTATAGACTTGTGTTCCCAGCTTTTCCTCTTAAGCGTTTTGTTTAGCCTGTTTACCCCAAGTGTTACCTGCTGCATCGGCATTTACAAAGTTAAATGAAAGCCTCTAATTATTTTTGAAAAATAATCTTTGGGAAAAGGTTTTGTACAGTGGTTGTGCTCTGAGTTAGATCAAGTGAAGACGGACTTGGTGAGTGGTATCTTCCTGGAAAGGGCGAGAGAAGTCAAATAATGACAGTTCTCTGGGAAGGAGGCACTGAAGTCCCTCCAACCCTGTCTGCCCCTCTAGTGGCTGCCAGCCTGCTGGTTCTTACATTGATTGGCATGGTGGTTACCAGAGCTAAGGCAGACTGGGCGGGGCGGGGGGGGTAGGGAGAAGAGGGAGATGGGAATGGGGAAACTTAACAATGCTAGAGCCCACCAGGCCCTTGTAACAATTTACCAGAGACTGAGTGGGTTAGACAACAAAATTTATTGTCTCCCAATTCTGGAAGCCAGAAGTTCAATCATGGAGGCAGGGTTGATTCTGCCTGAGGGCTGTGAGGGAAGGGTCTGTTCCAGTTCTCCTTCCTTGACTCCTGAGTGGCCATCTTCATCCTATGTTTCTTCACATCATGTACCCTCTGTATTTGTATGTGTCCAGATTTTCCCCTCTCATAAGACATCAGTCATTGGATTTGGGCTCACCCTAATTACTCATCTTAAGTTGATTACTTTTGTAAAGACTCTGTGTCCAAATATGTTCACATTCTGAGGTATGGGGATTAGGGCTCAAACATATGCATTTGGGGAGAGGCATAATTCAGCCCATCATGCTAAAATTCAGTTGTTTTTCTTGAATGAGTTTTTCATGGGTTGCTGCAAGTCTTTGATTAATTTCCAGAGTTCTGAAAATGTTGATCCTGACGATTTCTGCCAGTTTTTGCATTACCTTTATGAGGGAGATAATTTTTAGAGTTCCTTACTCTGCCATTTTCACTGATATCACAGCTTTTGTTTTCAAACTACAACCTTTAAGCCTAAATTATAAAATAGACCCATGATAAATACAGAGAACAAACTGATAGGTGCCAGAGGGGAGGACAGTGTGGGGAATGAGCAACATGGGTGAAGGGGAGTAGTAGATACGGGCTTCCAGTTATGGAATGAATTATTCGTGGGGATGAAAGGCACAGCACATGGAATATAGTTAGTGGTATTGTACAAGCATTGTATGGTGATGGATGGTAGCTACCCTTGTGCTGAGCACCGCATAGCGTAGAGACTGGTCGAAACACTGTTGTGCACCTGAAACTGATTTCAATAAAAAAAAAAATAATAAACATGAACTACAAAAAAAAAGAAGACTGTTCTGGGAGTTTACTTTTAACTATATTAATTGTATACATCAACATGAGGATAAGTGGGCATCTTTAAAATTACAGTGTACACTCCCATGATTATGGCATTATGGTCTGTGTATATCTTTCGCTGGAGTTTGAGCATATTCCCCACAGTGGCCTTGTTTGATTATCAATTAACTTCTGTTTATTGTCCTCTAAATGTTACCTTCTTTTTTATTACATGATTTAATGCATTATTACTGATGTACAGGGGCATTATTTACTTCTGTGTGTTGATCTTGTATTAGGAAACTTCTGGGTTCAGTTATGTTTTCTTTGATTTAAATATGTACAGAGGTTAGTGGAGGCTAGAGGAAGGGCAGACCAGGAAGGGTATACCCGTGCTCAGGTGCCACAGATGAGGAGGCATTTAGATACCTGCCCGAGTAAAACCATGGAAGAACGGTTCAGTGTGCTGCTTAGGGCAGTCTGAGTAGTTTGGCGTCCCGAGGGCAAATAGTTTGCGAAGAGGTGTAAGGAGATATGTAACAGACAGATCATGCCAGAAGAGCCAGTAAGTCAGGCTGAGTAGTGACAACAGTCTAAAATAAACACGTATCCAAGAAGTTAGAAAAAAGAAGTGGAAATTAACTGAAGCAAGTAGGAAAGAAAGAAAAGAGATCAGAGAAGAACAGTAGGTTTAATGGAACCAAAAGCTGTCTTTGGAACGGTTGGTAGGTGAGCTTTTGACAAATGTTTCATGAGTAACGGAAGTACAAAAAAATGCCAGAAGTTGATAAAAGTATGCTGAACTTTATAAAATTACAACTTAATACTTTGAATAATTTTATGTTAATAAACTTTAAATGAACAACTGTAATAAAATATAAATTTTATAATAATTATGTTTTCCTGATTGATAATCAAAAATTTGTTTTTCACCTTTTTCCCCATTGCCAAAAAAAAAAAAAAGTACCAGGCTAAACAGTTTTCCAAAGACAAAGAACACTTTCCATATTCTTTCAGAGAAAATTTATGAAAGAAAATCTGCCCAGTTGATTTTATGTGGCTATTACAACTTTAGATACCTTCCTTAATAATACTAAATTCTAAATAACTTTGATACTGAAATTGAAAAAGGACAAAGATGGTATAAAAATTATACACAGTTGTATTTCTGAATATAGGTACAGCTATCCCAGGAATAATATTTGCAAAATGCATCCAACCGTATTTATTTATTTGTTTATTTTTTAAAAAAGATTTATTTATTTGAGAGACAGAGGGGGAGAGAGTGCATTTGAGGGGGGAAGGGCAGAGGGAGACAATCTCAAGCAGACTCCCCGCTGAGTGGAAGCACCATGTGGGGCTTGATCTCATGACGCATGAGATCATGATCTGAGCTGAGACTACTTAACTGACTGAGCCACCTAGGCGTCCCCTGAATTTAGCAGTATTTAAATAAAAGAGCATGATCAGTTAGAATTATTCCAGGAAAGCAATTCTAGAAAAGCAATACTATTATCAAACATTCCATTAAAATATTCAAGAAAAAAAAAATGATCACCTCATTCAGTATAGGAAAAAATTTGTTAAAATTCAACACCAGTTAATGATAAAAACAAATAACCAAGAATACAGGGGGACTTTCTTAACCTATGAAAGAGTATTTGTCTAAAAGCTACATTCAGTAAACGGCATGCTATGTGGTGAAACTTGAGAGACAGTCTCTTTAAACTTAAGAAAAATTTCGATTTTTAAGTACAATTTTTATTTTACTGGATCACATACTGGATCTCTGTATTTGGTGAATCAATGAAGGGTCAGCCTGCAATTATTGAGGACTTAACCGGAACCTTTTCTGAAGGCTTACTTATGAGTAAATTCAAGATAATTGAATCTTTACTGTATTCCTTTTGTATCTCTATTTTTGCTTGTTTAATGATCAGTATTCTTTAAATTTTGAAGCAAAGTGAGAGGGGCACCTGGGTGGCTCAGAAGGTGTCTGCCTTTGGCTCAGGTCATGATCCCAGGACTCTGGGATCAGGCCCCATCAGGGACTCCCTGCTCATCAGGGTGTCTGCTTCTACCTCTCCTTCTGTCCCTCCCCCGGCTCATGCTGTCTCTCACAAATAAATAAATAAATGTTCAAAAAAATAAAGCAAAGCGGGAAAAATGCTTAGTAATTAAAATCATAGCATGTATTTATTGACTTTTTAATTACATAATTTTTCAGTTCAATACATCATTGTGAATAATCTGTTATTTCTGTAATCTAAACAATTTTATTGATTCCTTTCAGGTTTGGTATCTTTGAAAAACTAAGATAAAGTCTCAATAGTTTATAATTGTCTTAATTCTTTGTAATTAAAATAATGTTCTGAGAATAAAATAAGTTAGTATAATGAACTCTTCATAAAAAGACCAGTGCATTATTTTCAGATTGAGACATACACACACCCCCAAATAAAATACATGTATATACTTTTGAGTGTTAGTTATTACATGGACTGCAAAGAAATTTAGTTTTCATCAAGTAATTGCAATAACCCAGAGAAAAGTTATGAAACATGCAGCCCGAACTACAAAAATGTGAGGCATTATAGAGCATGAAAGAATATAAATATTATTGGAACATTTTAATATTGTATTTTCAGTGAAAGTATATGTTATGCTTCATCAAAAGAGTCCACATGTGTTATGTGTTACGCCACGACTACGAAATTCGGAAATGATAGATCCATCATTCCAATGGCATGGGCCAAGAGGAAAAATTATTTCAGGTAGGCTTTTGTTTCAATTATCATAATTACATTAATATATCTGAAATATATGCAGAACAAAGAGAATATTTGTATCTCTTATATATGTATCTGTTTCCTCAAGTTTTTCCCTTTTGATTTCCCTTTGGAGTGAGAGTTTCACAGTGTGTGTGTAGAGTTCTCTAGGCAGCTGTATTCCACAAAAATGTGACTTTTTTTTAAAGTTCATAAAGTCATTTTGGTTACCTCAGTCAGACTTTTCTTAGTCAAGTGTGTATGAAGAAGCAGATATAATTCTGGTTTTTGTTAAAAATACAAATGAACCCCTTGAGCTACAGATATACAAATATGGTTTTGTTTGTTTTTCTACGGCCCCACTTTGGGACAATTTGAGACTTTATTAGTAGTTAGAGTTTTACATTTTTTGGTCTTATATTTCTTTCTGACTAAAATCCATACCCATGTGGATTATACTTGAATTAAATATTATTATCCATTAAGGAAAAAAAGACTAAATTTAACATTGAGTATTTTAGTATTAAAAACACGCTTTTAGATACGCTGCATGGTTTGACAGTGATTGTGTATTAATATATTATTGGTGCTGTGCTTACAAAAGAGGGAACTTGGTACTCAGGTGTTCATCCAGAGGAGAAGGTAGACTTGAAACCCATCTAATGGTAGCCTTACAGTTTTCAACAAAGTTTTGAGAAAACAAGATCTTACTGTCAGTAAGATACTTTTTTTTTCCACATAGAGATTACTATTGGTATGACTGATGTGATCATTTTCTCTATTCAACTTCTTTTGTTGTTTTGAAATGCAGATCTTAGTTTTATTCTAATTTTTCTTTTGCTAAAAGCTGGTTTGTTTTTGCAGCGTAATTTAAAAAATATAAATTAGCTTATGTGTTCTTGTTTTCAGCCTTGATAAATACCCAACTTAATGAATTTTCATCCTGAAGATCTGTTCAATGAAACAATTATTTTTGCATCCTTTCTGAGGAAGTTTTCTTTATTGCTCTATTCACCAAATTTCCTTCCTTCCTTCCTTCTTTAAATCCTATTGGTGGGACGCCTGGGTGGCTCAGTTGGTTAAGCGACTGCTTTCGGCTCAGGTCATGATCCTGGAGTCCTGGGATCGAGTCCCGCGTCGGGCTCCCAGCTCAGCGGCGAGCCTGCTTCTCCCTCTGACCTTCTCCCCTCTCATGCTGTTTCTCTCTCGCTCGCTCTCTAATACATAAATAAATAAAATCTTTAAAAAAAAAAAAAAAAAAAAAAAAAAAAAAAAAATAAATCCTATTGGTATTTTGAGAGAGTGCCTGTGGACAAAAACCTACACGTTTGTTTTGTTATGTTGGTTGTGGGAAAGCAGTATATTCATATCAACACTTGCTGAGGAAATGTTCATTGGAAATAGACTTACTTTGTAATATGTTAATTCACATTTTCGTATACTTGAATGATCTCAGCTGTATATTTCTATAATATTTATGCTGATTCTAAAGTAGCTTAAGGTTTAAAGAGGTACTCCTCTCTTTGGGTGACGTGGTTCTTCAGAGTGAATTACTCAGTTCTTAATTAGTGAGTGACCACCTGGTGGGTGCCATTGCGCTAGGCTTTGTGGGAAATGCGAAGATCAAGCCTGATATCTCTGCCTGACTGTGGTAATGCAGGAGGAGGGAATTAGCAGAGATCGGTAACGGAGATGCTAAGAGATTGTGCACTTAATATAAATTCATGACATGGGCCAGGTATGAAAACATCGAGTACTGAAAGTGTAACTGGGTTTTATCTTTACTGCTCTGTAATAGCACGTATGTCACGCTGACACGTCTGTTAAATACGTTTACACTTGGTGTGAAAACGCTGTCAGTTCAAAAACAGAAGCATCTAAGTATTGAATTGTTGTATTGTAACAAATGTCACTCCTTTGATTTGGAGATTGAAATCTGAAACATTTTCTTCTCTAAGATGCCATGCCAGTCTTGTAGTTTATCTTGCAAAATATAGTATATGATTGAATTTTGAAACCTTCAACTAGGAGCAATAATTTATTTTATTCACTTTCATAATGGAAGATAGATGTTCAGAAATGTAGTTATAATAAAATCATATTAATACCGTGTTTTTTTATTTATAAAAACTATTCTCAGGAAATTCTGGTATTCTGACATCATGATCACATTTTAGTTTGCAGTACATGATCGCACCATAATTCACTGTCTGCCAGTTTTAAAGCTCATTTGTTGTACTATCATTATGATTTCAGAAAGAACTGGAAATGTTGTCTAATTTTCTTACAGCTTAAAAAGTGGAGAATCTCTTTGGAATCTAGATTAAACTGCACTGTACTTAGTTATCTTTTTGTGAATATTCCAAAGTGAGTTTTCCTAAAATTGAACAAATGAAATCATGTGATTATGTAATTACTTGCACATTCTCCTGGAGAGAAATACCCAGATTGTTTAGATGGGTTATAAAATATAGGGGACCAATCTTAGATTTGGTCTCTTTCTCCTTCCCTCTCCCCACCTTCTCTCTCTCTCAGCCCCCACTCCCTCCCCATTTCTCTCTCTCTCTCTTTTTTTTTTTAAGAGAGACAGAGAGCACATGGGCAGAGGAGAGGCAGAAGGAGAAGGAGAGAGAGAGAATCCTAAGCAGGCTCCATGCTAAGCATGGAGCCTGACACAGGGCTCAATTCCATGACCCTGAGATCATGACCTGACCCCAAATCAAGATTTGGAAGCTCAACTGGCTGAGCCACCCAGGCACCCCTCCTTCAATATTTTTTATTTACAAATGTAATGCATTTTTTGCACAAAGACCTGTACCTCTTACTCCAGCTCTTCTTCCATTCTGATGATTTAACTCATTCTGGTGTGTGGACTTCCCACTTTTCTGAACATATATAAACACATGCATGTATATCTGTTGAATTTTACCCTGTAACTACACTCTTATTTTTAATGAGATGATAGATTATATTTTATTCTACCTGACTATTTTTTTATGGAGTGAAGCAGTTCATATATACAAATGTATATAAGATATATGCAAGTTATGACACACAATAAGACAAACATCCTAGAACCTACAAGTCAAGATCTACCATTACCAAGACTGTCGCACCTCTTAGTAAGTTACTTAAAAATCCTATTCTTTTGTCCCCAAATCCCTGTTAGGTAAACAGTACCCTGACCTTTTATAGTATTATTCCCTAGCTTTTCTTTTTGTATTTGTCCTGTACCTAAATACACCCACACATACACATACTAGTTATTTAATTTTTTGGGCAGCCTTCTTCAGCAAGTACAGTCATTTCCTCCATTTTATATGTGAAAAAACAGGCATTGAGAGAAGAAGGTACTTACCTGAAATCATGTGCCTTGAAGTCTGGCTTCAGAGTTCACAGGTATAATCTAAATGAGGTAGGAATAGGATTTTTCCTTTCTCACCATTTTGTGAGTTTCTGTATTTTGTATCTTTTAAAGAATTTGTCCAATTTAGAGTCTTCTTTCAACTTGTTGAATTTGTGAGCATTAAGTAGTTTGTGATACTTTCTTTAATATATTCAGGATCTGGATGATGTGCTCCATTCTGCTTGATATTGGCTGTATCTTTCCCTTTCCTTTTGGTCTCTCTGGATACAGGTTTAACAATTTTATCAGTCTTTTCAAAGGACCAGCTGTTGGTTTGATTTTTCTCTTATTTTTTGTTTTCAATTTCATTGGTTTCTGTTTTTGTTTTTATTATTTTCTTTCTTCTGTATGATTTGGGTTAAGTTTGCTTATCTTGTGCTGGTTGTGAATTCTGGATTGACAGGTTTTTTCTTTCAGCATTCTAAAGATGCCCTTCTGCATTCTTTTTGCTTGCATGTTTTCTAATGAGAAGTCTGCTGTAATCTTATCCCAGTCCCTCTGTAGACATTGTGTCACTTTTTCTAACGGACTTGAAGATTTTTTCTTTGCCTTTCGTTTTCAGTGATTATATACCTCTTTTTTGTCTTTTATATTTATTCTGCTTAGTGTTCTCTAAGCTTCTTGGACATTTAGTTTGGTATTTGCCATTAATTTTTGAAAATTCTTAGCCATTATGTCTTCAAGTATTTATTCTGTCCCATGCTGTCTCTCCTCTCCTGAGATTTCTGTGACACAGACTTAACACTATATGATATTGTTCCACAGCTCTTGGATTCTTTCTCCTTGGTGGTGGTGGTGGCGGGTGTTTTATTTTTTTCTCTTTGTGATTCAGGTTGGGTTGTTTCTTTGACCTATCTTCAGGTTCATTGATTTTTTCCTTAGCTGTCAAGCTTTTTACAAGCCCATAGAAGGAATACTTCATCTGTGTGAAACTGTGGGGTTTTTGTGTGTGTCTGTTGTTGTTCATTTTGTTTTGCTATTAGTTCTAGCATTTTCATTTAATTCTTTCTTATAGTTTCAGTCTCTGTTGAAATCTCTCCTATCCGGTCTTCATATTATCTATGTTTTCCATTAAATTTTTTGGTACATTTGTCATTGTTATTTTATTTTATTTTTTAAAGATTTTATTTATTTGACAGAGAGAGAGCGAGAGAGGGAACACAAGCAGGGGGAGCGGGAGAGGGAGAAGCAGGCTTCCCGCCGAGCAGGGAGCCCGATGCGGGGCTCCATCCCAGGACCCTGGGATCATGACCCGAGCCAAAGGCTGACGCTTCACGACTGAGCCACCCAGGCGCCCCTGTCACTGTTATTTTAAATTAACTGTCTAATATTTGTGATCTCTTTGTCATTTAAGGGTCTGCCTCTATATATTGTTTGGCATTTTGGAAATGTGCCACTTCTTCTCTACATGCCTTCTAATTTTTTGTTAAAGTTGGACATCTTGAATAAGACAGTAGATAGTAAGTATTTTTATGTTTTGAGATCAACACCTTTTTAAAAATAGTGTTATGTCAGGGCGCCTGGGTGGCTCAGTCAATTAAGTGTCTGCCTTCGGCTCAGGTCATCCCAGGGTTCTGGGATTGAGCCCCGCATCGGGCTCCCTGCTCAGCAGGGGAGTCTGCTGCTCTTCTCCTTCTGCCCCTGCTCATGTATTCTCTCTCTCTTGCACACACACTCTCTGTCTCAAATAAATAAAATATATATTTTAAAATAGTATTTTGTCTTTAGTATTATGAGTTTGTGTTAATCTAGTCAAGAATTTGTCTAGGTTTAATATTGGTTGTTGTAGTGATTATTGAAAGCTTCAGATAACTTAAAAGATAGTTTTAGGTGTAGGCTGATTCATGAGAAGTTATTGTTCCCCAATGTCTAATCTTTCCTTGGCTTTGGTTTCCCCTTTAAAAAAAAAAAAATTATCTGGAAAGAATCTCTTTCTTGCAGTTCTTCTAATTTGATTGCACTGCATTTTTACTAGATTCTTATTACTGATGGGTAGTTGAGGGAGAGGGCCGGTCTTTGATGTTTAACTAAGCCAAGCTTAGTTTTTGGCAAGTATGGCATCCCTGGGTCCTTGTGGTGGGGGGGTGGCCATCACAAATGCTCTAACCCCTTCTCCAGCTTTAGTGTTGGCCTAGTGACTTCTTGCTAACTCTTCTTCAAGAATGAAGCTCTTTTTTTTCCCTTCCTGTTTCCTTCCCTAGTGGTACCAAGTTTCCACAGTGCCCCAGGTGACTATTTTTGTTCCTTCTCTCCCTCTAGATTAAAGCATTGTTCCTTACCAGAAAGTGGGGGAAAGGGGTGTGGGTAGACTTTTGAAAGGGTTGCTGGGGCCCCTCCTCTAGCCAGAACCCAATGGGAGTCTTGCTCAAGATTCCCCTCACCTCCCATTTGATCGCTCAGTTGTTGCTGAAGGTAGGGCCTGTAAGAGGGTGTAACACCCCCGCCTTCTTCCACCGTAGTATCTGTGGTCCTCAGAAGCCTCACATGTTCACACTTGTTGACACTTGGCTTTTAGCAATTCACTGCAAACTCTTAGCTGAGTCTTCTTAAATGCTTGGGTCCTCGTTCTATTTATAGGTCACTGTCCCCAGATTTCAGGTTTGTTGGGTGCCTTCCCACCGTGATCTTTTGATAGGCTCAAGAAAAGTTGTTAATTGACGGTTTGTCTTTTTCCTTATTGTAATAGTGGGATTGATGTTCTCATAGTCAACTTCGATATCTGAGCAGAAACCAAAAGTGTAAGCCTATTTTTAAAAATAGTAAGTTGTAGTGAAATTGTACTTAAATTTTACCGTGTAATTTTAGAGCTCTAAGACATGGACTTCTGGCAATCCAGTCCAACTCTGAATTCTTAGATGATCAAGCTAAGTTGTAGAGAAAGAAGTACTAATTCAATTATTCACTGACTATCTGCTGTTGTATGAGTTGTTATAGTAATATCCCTTGGCATCATGAAATTTCCGTTCAAACTTAGTTACTTAAAAGTCATTTTTTAAGTGGTGTTATAGAATGGCTTTTTCTCTTGGCTGTGTAATCCTCTGGGTATCTTTTCAAGTGTGCCACTTTTAATTTTTTTAAAATAAGAAACTGAGAGGGTGTTTTATTATGTATCATATGCTACTTGCTTTTCTGGCCGTCCTAATATTTAGCATTGTAGTAGGCATTCAAATATGTATTAATGCACTTATTAATTGATACTTTTGGATTGGGAAAATTTCATTACAAATTATTGCCAAGAATGCATAGCCTCATTGACATCATGGTATTTAAAATCTGTGGGCACTTTTTTTTTCTTTATAGTTTGAGAAGAATGGGTATGAACTCTTCATTATTTTTTAAGTTTTTATTTAAGTTCCAGTTAACATACAGTGTAGTATTAGTTTCAGGTGTACAATTTAGTGATTCAACACTTCCATACAACACCCAGTGCTCATCACAAGTGCACTAATCCCTCACCCATTTCATCCATCTCCCCACCTACCTCCCCTCTGGTGACCGCCGGTTTGTTCTGTAGAGTTAAGAATCTTTCTTGGTTTGCCTCTCTCTCTCTCTCTCTCTCTCTCTTCCCTTTTCCCTATACTCATTTGTTTTGTTTCTTAAATTCCACGTATGAGTGAAATCGTATGGCATATCTCTTCTTTTCTATTATTTTTTTTAAAAGATTTTATTTATTTATTAGAGAGAGACAGACAGTGAGAGAGGGAACACAAGCAGGGGGAGTGGGAGAGGGAGAAGCAGGCTTCCCGTGGAGCAGGGAGTCTTAATGCGGGGCTCGATCCCAGGACCCTGGGATCATGACCTGAGTCGAAGGCAGATGCTTAATGACTGAGCTACCCAGGCGCCCCGGCATATCTCTTTTTTGACTGACTTATATGGACACCTTTTACCGTATTTACTATCAAGTGTTTGTCTCTGCTGAAATATATAGCAAACATTTGAAAACTTCTTAATCTGTTTTAGAAAAGAGACATGTTATGATAAATATGTAATCTTTCATCAAAAAATATTCATGAAGAAATAGGGATTGCAGTATAAACATAGTCCCAATTTATAACCCTTTTTTCAGCTTCATCCAGGATATGGAAATGGGAATTCTTTTTTTTTTTTTTTTTTTTAAAGATCTTCATTTATTCGACAGAGAGAGACACAGCGAGAGAGGGAACACAAACGGGGAGTGGGAGGGGGAGAAGCAGGCTTCCCACGGAGCAGGGAGCCCGATGCGGGGCTCTATCCCAGGACCCAGGGATCATGACCTGAGCCGAAGGCAAATGCTTAATGGCTGAGCCACCCAGGCGCCCCAGAAATGGGAATTCTTAAGGCATAATACTCTGTGTAAAATCCTTGAGGGAGAATATATCCATCTATCTATTTCTCCTTCAGTATCTGAAGTAGAGCTTGGCATGTACTAGAAACCCAGCACATTTTTATTGAACAAATTAATAATGAAAATTTCCTAAGAACATTCATCTTTTGTCTTATTTTGAGGAAATAAATTTATTCAAAATATATCTCAACTTGAAATTTATAATAAGTTATTTACTTAAAGTAGAAGGGATAAGCATTTGCTAGGATAATGCTTTCCATCCTAATGAATGCCATGTTAAATTATTGTGTGAGTTTTAATACAATGATTTTCAAATGCAAAACTGGTTATGAACTTTCAGAATGACAACTTGAATTGCTTAAGGATTTGTATCTTTTTCAAGTACTTTAACGGTTGTTGTATTTATCACAGGAAAACAATCCTGGGAGGTAATGCTATCGTGTATTATGGTTCTTTGTTTCACAAATGAAGGAACTGGACTTCAGAAGGATTAAGGGATTACCCGAGGTTTACACAGTTCATGAGAAAGAAAGACATATCTAAATCCCACGTCTGAAGCCTGGACACCACCCTCTTTCCCATTACATAGCATAGCTTTCTCCCAGTGTGATACTGAAGTAGTGAAACACGTGGAAGTCAAAAGGGCTCTTACATCCGGTCCTAACTCTCAACCTGCAACTCTGTGCTTGTGTGACTTTGGACAGGTCCGCTGATCTGATCTTCTGTTTTCTTTCTTGAGCACTCCTTAAGGTTGAGTATCTTGGGTTAGCCTTTGTTCTGGGTGCATTCCTCCCTTTCTCATGTAGTTTGTAGTTTGTAAGCTTACGGAAGGCAGGAAGACATAGCTTATCCATAAAATACATATATACATAATTACTTCATAGCGTATGCAGATATCTACTGTTTTCATACATCTATGAATATCTGATAGTGCCCACGTCAATGCAAGGAGATCAGGAGTGCATTAAGTACATGTAATTGTTAGTCTCTTACTGCTTAGGCAGTTGGTAAACTCTGGTTAGTAAAAATCAGACATTAAGAAGGTCATCCTGGTACCTGCTGTCAACAGTTGACGCAATGACTAGTTATGCTTCCAACTCCTTTCAGTGATTCTGTAGGTAAATTTGGTGGTTTGACTCTGTTAAGAAAATACTTTGTCATTTTATCTCAGTGTCATGTCATTTAAGCAACTAAATACTGTATCTTATTCCTTTATTAGAGAACAGCACTGCACAAGTCACATCCACAGGAAGCCTTATATTCCAGAACTTTGAGGAGGGCATGAGTGGAGTGTACACATGTTTCCTGGAGTATAAACCGACTGTGGAAGAAATTGTTAAAAATCTTGAACTAAAATATGTTATATATGGTAAGAAGTACATTTAGTTGTATTTTAACATTTCTTGATGTTTTCAAATATTTTAATATCTTTAGGTTTGTCTTAAAGGCACTTTGTCATTTTTAGTCTTCTAATTAAAGAAAAATTCCTGCTTGCCTGTGTTTTACAAAGTTCCCTGTAAAGTGTTAGTGGTGAGGGCAGGTCTTGTTTTTTTCAAGGGAAAGTTGACAGGAACACATAGTTTTAAGCTGATGAATGAAAATGGGGGTTATGGAAATCGTGTTTTCAAATTATTACAATATTACAGCCTGTACTGCTTTTAAATTCTGAGTTTCATGCTTGATGGCACGCTGCCCACCCCCCAGACAGGAGCATGAAATGCCACTGTAAAATCCTTTTCTAAAAGCAATTTGATCTCTGGAAGTTTGAGATTGGGAGACCTGGGTGGATAATGGAGTGGCCAGGAGAACAGCCGGAGCAAAGGTGGCTTGTAAGTTCCCTCTGACCGGGGCGGCCCACGTGCGGCAGAGAGGGTAGCGGCCCTCCCCTGTGCACCTCTCTGATCTCCAGCACCTGTGAATGTGCTATCTCACAACGGCAGAAGGGACTCTGCCCATATCAAGAAGGTAGGGATCTGGGGGCGGAGCAAGATGGCGGAGGCGTAGGAGACCTGGATTTCCTCTCCTCTCAGGAATTCAGCTGGATAGGGATCAAACCATTCTGAACACCTACCAACTCAACAGGAGATCAAAGAAAAGAAGAGCAACAACTCTCTCATCAGAAAGGCGACCACTTTCTGGAAGGTAGGACGTGCGGAGAAGTGAATCCGAGGCGATATTCGGGAGGCTAGACGGCGGGGGAGGGGCCTCCGTCGGCCGCTTCTGGCAAGTGATAGAGCCGCGGAGCACAAAATCGGAACTTTTGAAAGTCTGCTCCGCCGAGGGACGTCACTCTGGTGGCTAAGCGGGGGGTGGAACCCTCCGGGACAGTGTGGACTCAGGACCCTCGGGGTCACAGAAAGACCGGGGGTGCCTGAGTGTGGCAGAGCTCCCAGGTAACGGAGCAGGGAAGCCGGCTGCAGAGGCGGAGCCCGGGCGCGGGCTCTCAGCTCGGGGTGGCCATGAACCGTGATTCGCGGCCCAGTCGGGCCCCTGCTCCTCCAGCAGGGATCCAACAAGCGGCAGATCAGGGGAGACTCACCTTCCTCCCCGGGGAGGAGCCGCGCGGGAGTGCACCACAGGGATCTGCTGGGTTTGGAGACTCCACGCGGGGTCGGGTGCCAGAGATAGAAACGCGCGGTCACAGGCCGGGTGAGCACGGAGTGAGGCCGGAGACCAGGGAGACGGGAGTGACTGACAGCTTTTCTCTGGGGGCTCACTGAGGAGCGGGGCCCCGAGTTCTGGCTCCTCCAGGGTGGAGATTGGGAGGCCACAGTTTTCACTCTCCGCCTGCAAAGCTGTACGGAAAGCTTGCAGGGAACAAAAGCTCCTGAGAGCAAACCCAAGCAGATTACTTAGCCCGGACCGGGCAAGGGCGGGGCATTTCCGCCTCCGGCAAAGACATTTGGAAACCACGGCAACAGGCCCCTCCCCAGATCAGCGAGAACAGCCAGCCAAGACCAAGTGTACCGATCAATGAGAACGGCAGAACTCCAGCGCTAGGGGACTACTGCACATAGAATTCACGGCTTTTTTACCATGATTCTTTAGTCTTTTAAAGTTAATATTTTTTTAACTTAATTTTTTGTCTTATTATTTCTTTTTGAATTTTTCTTTTTCCCTTTTTCAACCAACATCATATCAATCCCTTTTTTTAAAAAAACATTTTTATTTTTCATTTTTAGCATCCTATTCTATCCCTTCATAGTAGTTACCCATATTTTTGGCATATATATATATAAGTTGTTCTCTCTTTAAAATTTTGAGATAGTTTCTTCTAACAAATCAAAATATACCCTAAATCTCTAGTATATGGTTTTTTCTACTCACCTGCCTGATCACATTCTCTCCCATTTTTTTTCTTTTTTCTTTTTTTAAATCCTCTTCTTTCTTTTTTCAAACAACTTCTTATCAATTCCTTTTATAAAATTTTTTATAATTTCCATCTTTACAGTCATATTCCATCCCTTCATCATATCAACCCTTATTTTTGTATATATATAAGTTTTTCTTTCTTTAAAATTTTGGGAGGCACTTTCTTCTAAAAGACCAAAATACACTCCAAATCTAGTGTGTGGCACTGATATATATACCAGCCTGATCATATTTGATCACATTCTGTTTTTTTTTGTTGTTCTGTTTTGTTTGTTTTTATCTTTATCTTTTTTCTCTTTTTTCCATTTCTTTTTCCACTGCTTCAGGTCTTTTCTGTTTTGTTTACAGTATATTTTCTGGGGACGTTGTTACTCTGCTAGCATTTTGTTCTCTCATTAATCTATTCTCCTCTGCACAAAATGACAAGATGGAAAAAATCACCTCAACAAAAAGAACAAGAGGTAGTACCGACTGCCAGGGACCTACTCAATACGGACATTAGTACGATGTCAGATCTAGAGTTCAGAATCATCACTTTAAAGATACTAGCTGGGCTTGAAAAAAATATGGAAGTTATTAGAGAAACCCTTTCTGGAGAAGTAAAAGAGCTAAAATCCAAGTAGAAATCAAAAAGGCTATTAATGAGGTGCAATCAAAAATGGGGGCGCTAACTGCTAGAATAAATGAGGCAGAAGAGAGAATCAGTAATATAGAAGATGAAATGATGGAAAATAAAGAAGCTGAGAAAAAGAGAGATAAACAACTACTGGATCACGAGGGCAGAATTTGAGAGATAAGCAATACCATAAGACGAAACAACATTAGAATAATTGGGATCCCAGAAGAAGAAGAAAGAGAGAGAGGGCCAGAAGGTATAATGGAGCAAATTATAGCAGAGAACTTCCCTAATTTGGGGAAAGAAACAGGCATGAAAATCCAGGAAGCACAGAGAACCCCTCTCAAAATCAATAAAAATAGGTCAACTCCCCGACATCTCATAGTAAAACTTACGAGTCTCATAGACAAAGAGAAAATCCTGAAAGCAGCTCGGGAGGAGAGATATGTAACCTACAAGGGTAGAAACATTAGATTGGCAAAAGACCTATCCACAGAGACCTGGCAGGCCAGAAAGGACTGGCAGGATATATTCAGAGCACTAAATGAGAAAAATATGCAGCCAAGAATACTCTATCCAGCTAGGGTGTCATTGAAAATTGAAGGAGAGATAAAAAGCTTCCAGGACAAACAAAAACTAAAGGAATTTGCAAACACAAAACCAGCCCTACAGGAAATCTTGAAAGGGGTCCTCTAAGCAAAGAGAGAGCCTAAAAGCAACATAGACCAGAAAGGAACAAAGACAATATACGGTAACAGTCACCTTACAGGCAATACAATGGCACTAAATTCCTTTCTTTCAATAGTTACCCTGAATGTAAATGGGCTAAATGCCCCAATCAAAAGTCACAGGCTAACAGACTGGATTAAAAAACAAGACCCATGGATATGCTGTCTGCAAGCGACTCATTTTAGACCCAAAGACACCCCCAGATTGAAAGTGAGGAGGTGGAAAACCATTTACCATGCTACTGGACACCAAAAGAAAGCTGGGGTGGCACTCCTTATATCAGACAAATTAGATTTTAAACCAAAGACTGTAATAAGAGATGAGGAAGGACATTATATCCTACTTAAAGGGTCTATCCAACAAGAAGATCTAACAATTGTAAATATCTATGCCCCTAACATGGGAGCAGCCAATTATATAAGGCAATTAATAACAAAAGCAAAGAAACACATCGACAACAATACAATAATAGTGGGGGACTTTAACACCCCCCTCACTGAAATGGACAGATCATCTAAGCAAAAGATCAACAAGGAAATAAAGACTTTAAATGACACACTGGACCAAATGGACTTCACAGACATATTCAGAACATTCCATCCCAAAGCAACGGAATACACATTCTTCTCTAGTGCCCATGGACCATTCTCCAGAATAGATCACATCCTAGGTTATAAATCAGGTCTCAACCGGTACCGAAAGATTGGGATCATTCCCTGCCTATTTTCAGACCACAATGCTTTGAAACTAGAACTCAATCACAAGAGGAAGGTCGGAAAGAACTCAAATACATCAAGGCTAAAGAGGATCCTACTGAAGAGTGAATGGGTCAACCAGGAAATTAAAGAAGAATTAAAAAAATACATGGAAACCAAAGAAAATGAAAACACAAGTATTCAAAATCTTTGGGATGCAGCAAAGGTAGTCCTAAGAGTAAAGTATATAGCAATACAAGCCTTTCTCAAGAAATTAAGAAAGTTCTCAAGTACACAACCTAACCTCCACCTAAAGGAGCTGGAGAAAGAACAGCAAATAAAGCCTAAACCCAGCAGGAGAAGAGAAATAATAAAGATCAGAGCAGAAATCAATGAAATAGAAACTAAAAGAATAGTAGAATAGATCAACGAAACTAGGAGTTGGTTCTTTGAAAGAATTCACAAGATTGATAAACCCCTGCCCAGACTTATCAAAAAGAAAAGAGAAATGACCCAAATCAACAAAATCATGAATGAAAGAGGAGAGATCACAACTAACACCAAAGAAATATAAACAATTATAAGAACCTATTATGAGCAACTCTATGCCAGCAAATTAGATAACCTGGAAGAAATGGATGCATTCCTAGAGATGTATCCACTACCAAAACTGAACCAGGAAGAAATAGAAAACCTGAACAGACCTATCACCACTAAGGAAATTGAAGCAGTCACCAAATATCTCCCAACAAACAAAAGTCCAGGGCCAGATGGCTTCCCAGGGGAATTCTACCAAACATTTCAAGAAGAATTAATACCTATTCTTCTGAAACTGTTCCAAAAAATAGAAATGGAAGGAAAACTTCCAAACTCATTTTATGAGGCCAGCATTACCTGGATCCCAAAACCAGACAAAGACCCCATCCAAAAGGAGAATGACAGACCAATATCCCTGAT